TTTCAAGCACTTAAAACATTCGCTTATCCCATCTGTTGCGAATTGTGCCAGATTATATGCCCTTCCCAAAATTCATAAAGTGGTATTCCTTTCCGCCCTATTGTATCAAATTTAGGTACTGCCTCGTCCATTAGCTAAATTTAGTTTCTAGATTTTCCACTCTATTAGACAATAACATTTACACCATAAAAAATTCAATAGAGTTGGTAAAAAGGTTAAAAAACATTTCTCCTCGTAATTTACTCATGGTTTCTTTGATTAAAATCATTATTCACCAATGTCCCAGTGGAGGGTGCATTAGATGTCTAGAAACCAGACTTCGCGAATTTCATTTCTCTTGCATCGAAATTGATGAGCTAATTTCTCTTCACTCAACTCTGTTTGAAACAAACACATTTGTTTTCCAAAATAAATATTACAAGCAAACTGAGGGATTAGCCATGGGAAGCCCCCTCAGTCCCATCCTGGCTGATATCTACATGCATTATTGTGAATCAAAATTGTTTGAAACTTTAAACTTCCCGGCATGGTTCCGCTACGTAGACGATACTTTTACCCTGTTTGAAGGTAATAAAGATGATTTAAATAGAGTTCTTTCAACAATGAATTCTATTGATCCTGCTATTCAGTTCACTTTTGAACTTGAGACTTGCAATTCTCTTCTGTTTCTCGACATTCTGGTCACACGTACACATCCACTTCAGTACTACAGTTTACCGTAAACCTTCATCGGTTTGCCTTCCACCACACTTTAAATCATGTCATCCGACTAAACAAAAGTTAGCTTCATTTTATTCCTATGTTTTCCGTGCTCTTCAAGTTTGCTCCTCCAAACTAGCCCTTGATGAAGAACTAAATTATTTAAAAGCAATAGCTATTGACAGGGGCTTTTCACCCAACATTATTAATCAAGCAGTTAAAAAATTCTCATCTCAACACACTAAAAGCCACACTCTTATTTTAGGAGATTATAAAATTCTGTTGTCATTCCCTTCTTTCCATCAATTAGCTTATAAGTTGCAACATATTTTTGCAGAAATTAACTTTCGGGTTGTTTACTCTCCCATCAATAAAATTCCAACTTCTATACTCAAGGACCCCATTCCGGATATGAATTCCTGGGTATTTATAGGATTTCCTTGCCAGTGCGGTTTAATTTACATTGGCCAAACTAAGAAAGCCTTAAAATTTCGCGTCAAAGACATGAGGCATATGTTAGAAAAAAGGAAACACAGAAGTCTTCTGTTGCTCAACATTGTTGGTCCGAAATCACACTTTCAATTTTTCTGCTGCCAAAATTATTCAAAAACATCTTCCATTGGAGAACTGGATTTTCTAGAGGCATTTCACATTCATAAAAATCTTTCTGTTCTAGTTAACGATCCTAATTCCAATCCAAATTTGCCTTCGGCTTTTAGAGAAATTATGTTTTAGTTCTGGTTTCGCCAACAGATGGCGCCACTTGCTTATTCTTGTCCAGGCTTTCTTACCTTATCTAAACATTATTTCCTATCTTGTTCATTTGCGGTTTTGCAGCTGAAGATGATGGTTCGGTAAAACCATCGAAACTAGTCCTGTGAAAATTTTGTAAATTAACGCTGATTTTTGTTGTTTGACTTCTGAATTAGTATTTATTCGGCGTGTTATTGTGTCTTAATTTAAAAGCTATTTAAGTGCGACTAAGCCTAATTTTTGTTTATTATAGCAGCCATAATTGTTTACATTTGAAGCTTAGCAAAACGGTGAATTAAGTCAGTTTCTGTTCAGTTTTCAATGTTTTTTGCCGTGTGGGACCAAAAGTAAACTTTCAGTTTTGTACACCGAAAACCCTACCTTGTTGCCTGCTGCCGAATTGCTTCTTTTTGTGTAGAAACTCTAATTTTAACTAAAAAAATTTTTTTTTGGATTATTTTAACTGTATTTGGTGTTTTATTTTTTTCTACATTTTTCAATTTTTAATGAAGATATTTTGAGGTTTTATGCATTTTTGCCTTACCATGAAGTAAGAACTGAATTAATTGAATGAGAAATCTATCTCTAATGATATTTGAGGAAATAAGTTTAAATGAAATGCAGCAAAAATGCATATAATTTAATATTCCGTACAAGGAAGTCATGTGGTGTCCGCATCAGATTTTTTCACTTTCATCACTCGGTATCGAAAATTTAATCAGTCCACTATTCGATGCTTAACAGTTAGCAACATCTTTGATTAAAAGACTTTCCCAAGCTGATCGCGTTCATAACGATTCTAGTAAACTACTCTAGTAAAGCCTTAGTACATGTAACCATCCAGTAAAGAGTAAGTATAGTAAGTGGTAGGATTTATTCATTATCTGCGGAAGTCGAAATACAAAGTGACAACGTATGCATCTCTGCATAAACTGGCGGCAGACGGACGAGGTCAGTTTAATTCAATGACCTCGTAATGAATTAACTGCAACTTACGTTTAATATGTGGAGTAGATAAGATTAGGAAAATAAACGTCGATAAGCGATATCTTAACGTACTAGAAAATTCGAGAAACAAAAATGAAAAAAAGATAATAAAAATATATGGGAAACTGTAAATTATTCTCTAATGATAATTTGAAACACGTGATTAAAAAGGAGTTAAGGCCAATCGCCGGTTCTTCCAAGGTTACAAGTTCGTGTAGAAGCAACTCTTACAATTTCGTGCTCTTTCGTCCATATTTCGAAACTACTACACTCTTAATCTTCTGAACAGCCAGTTTAGGAAGTAAGTTAGGTTAGGTTATTTAATTACGGCAAAGCCTCAAGGGCTATCTGTCTAAAGGGAGGGATGTCTTCGTGGAGGACTTTCTAAGGGAAACTGGCTCGTACACACGTTACACATGGGGAAAACCACGAAAACACCCATGCAGCCAGCCCGTTCGTGGGATTCGAACCTCAGACCGAACTACCAGTGTTCAGCGACTTTACCGCTCGGCCGCTGGTGGACCCAGTTTAGGAAGTAGAGTTGTAGAGTCATTCGGTTTCCTTTTAAAAGCAGGAGTTAGGAAATGAGCAATGCCATCACTGGAACTCGAACTTGGATTTCTCGAAGACACGCCGAGTGGGCTACCGTTACACCCCGAACGTTTGTGAATGGTTCGCAACTGCAAATGCTTTTAAATAAGTTTTAAAAAATTACATCATTTGTTTAAATTCTAAACGTTTCTTCTAATCTTCGCATTTACGTACTCTACTGCAAATTTTGTAAATAGCTGTTGTTATTGTTGCTAATGCTCACTTGTCTGACAGCAACATCAGCCCAAGCTCACGAAATTCCTCGTAGTAAGGAGAGCAAGTTTACGCCTGTCGTTATCAACAGACTTAAGCACCTTACAGGTGACAGTACGATTTTAGCCCAGTTCCGCCCCCCCCCCGCAATTTTGATGGAGAGCACTCCGGAAACACTACCAAAATGACCACCGACCCTAGGACTTAACAAGTCTCTCGGTGTAATTATCAAGTTGGCAGCTCTCCGGGGGACGGATCCGTGTGTCTCGCACCCCTGTTCCACACCCCAACCTCTCGAGAGGACTTTTGGCTCGCCGCATATTTAGATTGCCCTCATGCCGCACGGACACTATACATTTACATGCCTTCTTCGCTATTCGAACCCGGGGCCTTCGGCACAGGAATCAGCGACGCTAACCACTATAATAAATAGCTGCAGCATTCAGAAGAAAAAGAAAGATTAGGGTAAAATGGTTTATCTAAACTTGATATTCATGTATGATCTAAATTTGGTATTTATGAAGTTTTAACATAAATTTCAAGATCAAGGTTCTGTGAATAATTTTGATGGCTCAGAACATTTTGCCTCGCAAAATAGCCTTGCCACTCGCAGATTTGCGGAACGTGATTTCGCATATACGCGGTATGCTTTAATTTATCCATTTCATTCATACGCGTTCTATGTTCATTCATAAATACTGAATGCTAACTGGCATCACCTTTTACCAGAAATGAATTTAAAAGGTTTTCCGTCAATTGAAACGAAAGCCAAACAAATTGTACATATTGCAAAAACCGTACGTTACATACAAAATTCCGTACATATTGTACAAAAGCATTTTTCGTCGAAGAATTTTCAGAGATGATAAAAAGGGAAAAAAGGAAAATCTGAAAGGTTTCCGATTTTAAATTACGTCCAAAGGGGCGTTTTTTTTAACATTTTGTGTGTTACCTTTATTTATTGAATATCATGTTCTTCGCACTTAAGCCATAAAATTCTATTCAAGAGCAATATCGCACTTTAGAATTTCCGATACACAGTTCCGCGCGCTGGACATAATTTTTTTTTTTTTTTTTTTTTCATTACAGTGTTGCCATGGGTCGCTTTGAAATTGTTTAGTTTGTTAATCAAAAATTCGTTGAGGTGTTGCAAAATATGAAATCGATAATAAAACAAATTTCAAATTTTGGTTTCCAAATGCCCATATTCGCAGTAGGATTACGTCATTCAAAGTTGGATGGCTCTAGGTACCGTTGTTTTATTACAATGTGAGAAACATACCTACATTTATGCAGATTCTTCATTACTTAATTTCTTCAAATATAATACAGGGCAATAATATTCGGTGACAAAAATTTGAAATAGAGTGATTCGACGTAAAATCGCAAAACGAAAACAATAGACCCTCAGGGACAAACCCCGTTTGGACTAATCAAAAATTTAATCGGCAATTAGACTATCAAGAAAAAAGGAATGAAGAAATGGTTTATAACACCAGCTGATAGGGGAAGTAATGATAATGGAGAAGATTTTAAAGCGCCTTTAAATTATAAGAAGTTGAACGAATAGTTAAAATACGCACAGGAACCGATTTAGCAATGAAGATTTAACTGGCAGGTTTTAACACAAAATTTTAGATATTTGAAAGTATGTATAAAATCATTTATACTAAAGTTGTTATCATAATCGATTAAATTTTTAAGTAAAAACACCTCGATATAAAGAGAAGGAGGAAAACTGAAGAAGAAGGATTTACCTCTGGTTCTAACGATGCAGTTTCCCTCGATGCATATTCAGCAACAGCTTGTCTCGCTTCGTGATATCCTGTAATGACATTAAATATAAGAATTTTAATTTTCAATTCATATTCTGGACATGTGGGAAGGTCATAAAGCATAAGAGTGGTATAAACTCAGCTTTGACTTTTGATTTGTTTTCAAATAGTATCGAAATCAAATCATACGTGATTCTTATCGGATCGAAATAGTATCTCACGAAGACAATATTGGGAATTTAGCATCTTGTAAGGATTATGTTAATTTTATTAACAGTTAAATTTTGAGTTAAACTTCCTTTTCTATCGCTTCTTAATTTCAACTTACCATTTCCGGCCAGAACGTAGTTTTAGAATTACGTCTGAATGCTAATGAGGAAGAGCGGTATTTAATCGCGAAGTTCTACTGTCTTAGTGAGAGAGACCAGATATTCTGGCTAGCACGTCCGCTTTTTTAGGCTATTCTCTCGTAAGCTATTATGACGCTCGGCCGTACTTTAGGTCCTTGATAGCTTCGCAGCCAATTAGCGTTAAGGGGCCAACTCTGTTAGAAATTTGATAGCTTCGGCTATATCCTTTTTTTAGTTAAGATTAATTTAGTTTATTTCTTAGTCTCTTAAGCCCGAGTGTCGCCCTAATTGTACAACTTCAAGACGGAGTTCTGTTAAATCTTATTTGAATAATAAAGGGTCTTTTAACCCTTTATATGTTTATTTACTGTCTCACGAACTCAAGCGATTATTCGTTTACTAGGTCTTAAGATTCTTCACATCCAACTGAGAATTGGATGTGAAGAATCTTAAGACCTAGTAAACGAATAATCGCTTGAGACCTAGTAAACGAATAATCGCAGTGGAGAATCCTACAATCTTTATCGTATTTATCTAATCATATAAGTATTTAGGTGTCATATTTGATGAAAAACTTACATTTAAAGATCAAGTAATTTTGTGCTGTCAATAAAGTTAGTGCAACTTTTATGGTTATATATTCATAGGAAAGAAACTGAAGTTCTACAGAATAATATCTTACGCATCATACTCAAATATCTTAGGTCTTTTAGAAATTCTGTTATTTATCGGGACATTGACATACAAACACTCTAGATTATATTTTAGCGTATTTTCAAAACTCTTTGATAATGTGTCCCCCTGCATCCATTCGGAAAACGTTGATAATGCTAATTAAGCTCCTCCAATTAAGTGTATTGTTAAGAGACCAAGAAAGATACATAATAATGCCAAATGTTAGTTCTCCCTGTACTAGCATCTGACTGTTTTCCAGACTCTCACTTATTTTTATTTGTAACTATATGAATTTGTTTTCTTTATTTTAGGATCTTGTTTCTAAGTTTCAGTCGGTGACTTCCGCGCTAAGCTTTCTACTCCATGCCATAATGACAGTGCGTATTGGGCTTCACTGTTAATACCACAAGTGGCCTCCGCCATTAATTCCAAACGCTTAGATCATTATAGGCTAGTTGTACCAGCAAGATCTAAGCTTTCAAGAAGCTCAGCTTTCACGCTGCGTTCGTTGTGGCGAAGCCCAGAGTCAAGAGATTACCGAGATAAAAAAAAACGTAATCTCTCAAACCGTGCTACTTGTGGCCAGTTACATGGCCTCAGATGGCCATGGGTGTCACTACTATTTGAGAAGCAAGATGATTAAAAATCCCATTATGACAATTAAAAGCCTTTCAGGCTTTACAGTAAAATTACAGAGTTACAGTAAAATCCCTTGCAGGGATTACCAAATCGATGGGCACGTAACTTTTGGACGAACTAGATAAAACTAAAGATATTACCTAAACACTGGTCAGTCTTCGAGAATGCTAAATAATCAATTTTCACTGGTATAAAATTGCATGACTTTAAGATACACTGGTTTCAGCGTTCTAGAAAAGTATTTAAATTTGAAATAACTTGATTTTAACGTTCTAGAAATACATCTAACTTTCATATTAAAATTAATTATAAATACAAATCGGTATCTAGTTAAACTTGTGCAGTTTATATATACATACTAAAACTAAACTCAGTGGAACAACAGCCCTAGTAGGCCACGGCCTGCAGTGACCCGAAATCTGCTTTCTTGACCTTGGGCCCCGGGAATGCATCAGCATGTGCCCTGGGGCAAGTAGTCAGCTTATCGCAGGATCCCCCAGTGTTTAGTCCCCAGGCGAACTTGGTACTCATTTTATTGACCCATTCAAGGGATGAAAGGCCTTGGCCCAGCCCGTGGACTGAACACCGGAACTGTGGTGCAGCTGCGAGACGTGCGTGCCGCTATATATGTATACAACTAAAGATGAAATAAATTCTTATTTGTCTGCTAAGTTCAAACTGAAGTAAAAATTTAAAAAAAAAAAAAAAATTTTGGAATGATGGAAAGTAACAGTTTTCAATGGCTTGTACATCTGTTGCATTAGAATTCTTACCTGTAGAAGGAGCGTATCCATTGTATTTCATTGAAGTGACGCTCTCAACAACAGCCGAAGTTATCTCATCACATGGTTGAAGATTGCCAAAAGTTGTAGGGTCGCCTGAAACGAAAAATCATTTCAATAGTGCTACTGATTAATAACAGTTTCTCGTTCCTTTTGTCTTGGTAAGAGCTACTGCATGACGACACGATCTACCCGATCGATTCAAGAAGTATAAGAGAGTGTTCCAAAAGTATGACCTGGCAAATATCAAGAATTTCATATAAATTAATTCAGAACGATGGTGATGAATAATGTACTTGCAAATCGTTTTGCAAAGTACTCCAGAGGTGTTCATGTCCAATGGAATTTTAGTTCGGACTTCTTGGTAGCCACTTCAACGGGTAGAACTATTGTAGTTTTTCCGAACAATGGATCTGGTACAAGAACAATTGTTTTGCTGGCACTCTACATTTCTATTCGGATGACAAACATGAAGAGGTGTAAGTTATCGTCCTAATGTACTTAAATGCAGTAAAAATTTTTGTTGTATTCGTAAATACCAAATATTGCACCCCAGACGATTACTGCGCCGCCATGATATTGTACAACTTGAACCTGGCACGTTGGATTCACGGCAGTGTCACATTCTTATAGCCTACCATCACAGTGATACAGACATGGAATCGAGACTTTTACTCGATGCTACTCATTTCCAATCCTTGATGGTCCACTCACGATGCTCTGTGGCCCATGCAGGACGTTTAATGCGGTGGTCTTCAGCGAGAAGCGACATTCTCTCTCGTTTTCGACTTCTGAAACCCATACGGTGAAGTGAATGCTGCAGAATCTGTCTGCCGTGGTGAAAGAAACAGAAGTTCTTCCGCAGCTGAAGCACAGCTTTACAGTGTAAGGGAGTGGAACAATGTTTTTACATTCATTGCGTGTTATACTGAAAACTTTTAAAATGCAGTACTTTATAATAAAATTTTCTTTATTTTCGTCTTTTTGTAACAATATTCGAGAACTACAATTGTTGCTCACAAAAAGATTCAGTTTTATCCCACAAATCTTGTGAAAACTACTTCGAGAACTTTTATTTACAGCTTTGTAATTTAAATTAATTAAATTCGCACTTATTTAATATGATATTAGTAACGTTCTACAGAATTATCAAGCTCACCGGAAGATAAAGCCACGGAATATAGTTCGATTTGGTGTCGGATCCTTACGAACAGGGGTCACTTGTAAATGGCCCACCAGCGGCCGAGCGGTAAAGACGTTGAACACTGGTAGTTTGGTCCGAGGCTCGAATCCCGCGAACGGGCTGGCTGCATGGGCGTTTTCGTGGTTTTCCCCATGTGTAACGTGTATACGAGCCAGTTTCCCTTAGAAAGTCCTCCACGAAGGCATCCCTCCTCTTAGGCAGATAGCCCTCCAGGCTTTGCCATAATCACACACACACACACACACTTGTAAATGTATTTTTGCAGTTATCCTCGTGCGTAATATAAAATTTTCATGTTCCCTTTAGAATGTCTTTCCACAAGTATCATTCGTCTTAGATAGATAATACCCATGAGCTTCGAGTTGCTCAGTTAAATAAAAAATAATAGTAAAAAAAAAAAAAAAAAAAATCAAACATAAATTTTAAAAGTAAAAATTCTGAAAGCTTTCAGATTTTACATTACCCTAAAGGGGATTTTTTTTTTAACGTTTTGTGTGTTACCTTTATTTATTAATATCATGTTTTTCGCACTTAAACCATAAAATTCAGTTCAACAGTAATATAGCAAAATAATTTTAAAATGAGCATATCTTTAGAATTTTCGATACACAGTCTCGCGCGCTGGAGATAATTTTTTTCCCATACAGAGTTGCCATGCCTTGCTTTCATTTTATTTTTTTATAAAATAATGAAATTATGTATTGTCGTACATAGCCGATCACCTCCATGGAACAAGTCATACTGAACCGTGGGTAGTCGTCCTAAAATATGTTAAAAAAACATTAATGCAATTTTTGATTTGAAAGACATTTTAGAAAAGCTAAAAAAAAAAAACTTATATTTCAGAACATATGTCTAAACGAGAAATCTTTACAATAGAAAGAATAGAAAACATACAATACAAGATTTTAATATTAATAATGCAAAAAGCTTTGATTTTAATTTTTGTTAATCGCTAACCAAATGAAATGAGATTATCTTAATTTCCTCCCCCTCAAGCCGCCCAGGTAAGAACGTGGTTAGTGATTCTGACTACGGTACCGATGGACCCGGGTTCGAATCCCAGAGTAGGCACGGGTATAAATTCTCTGTATCTACACAGAAAGTAACGGAGGCTGCCTATTAGGTGCTTCGGTTACATCCGAAAATATCGTAGCAAAAACATCGTGGGCGAAAATGTCGCGGTAAAACAATGCAAGGCGAAAACGTTACGGTGCAAAACATCGTAATTCTAAATCATCGTGGTATAAAACGCAGTTGGAAATAAAGCGGTTAAAAAACTTCGCAGTTTAAAAACATCATTGTCGAAAATATCGTGGTAAAAAACAAAGCACTTGCAAATCATCACAAGACGATAACATCTCTGACATGCGTTTAACTTATGCAGTTACTTAACCTACCTTTTTTAACTCATTTTTAATATATATTTTTCATGAAAAATTACCAGTAAAACTTTATAAAACACATTTATTTATTAATGATGTTTATTAGTTAAAATAAATTAATAAGTGTAAAACTCTGTTAAGTGCTGCTATAAATTGCATTAATTTTCTATTCATTTTCAGTTTTTAAATACTTAAGCCTTGTTACGTTTTTTAAATTAGTAGTTAATTAAAAAATGTGAGATGTAAAAGTAAAAATATTTTTCTTTCCTTCTTGCGCTCACAAATAATTATGCGAATATGCATTTACATGTTTTAAAGCCTTGAAAAACGCATGCCAGCTACATTATAGTCATGCGATGATTTGTAGCTTTTAATGTTTATCCTAAGTTGTTAACAAACTATTTTCAGTTATTAAAGCCACTTTCCTGTCGCTCCTATTTCCAGCTTACAATTTCCTACCAGAATGTGTTTTCAGAATCGCGGTTAAATGCAAATGAAGGAAGAGAAGTACTTAAAGTCGAAGTTCCACTGACTTCGTTAGAGAGCCAGAGATTCTGACTAGCGCGCTTTCGCCCCTTGGCTACACTCTCTCACAGCTATTACCAAGCTCGGTCGTATTTTAGACTAGCGTCTACATCCCAAAACGGCAGCCTATGAGAGAGGCGATTCTATTATTTTCATCGGGGAGTAGGGAAGTTAGAATGGTTTTCTGAGGAACGCCAACGGCAGTGCACGATGTTTGCTTACATTATTAGGAAGTTCAGAAAATTGCAAAGGTGGATTGCCTTAGTTTTTGCGGTTACTTTCAGGGAAATATTAGGCAGTTTTTATTGGTTTGCTGATAGAGGGCGAATAGATAATTTACCTTTATAAATCCGCGTTTATCTATTTAAACTTCAGAAGATTTATGATGAAGTGAATATATTCAACACAACAGAACGCAAGCTTAAGACTTGTAAATCTTTTAAAAAACAATACATCGATAATTAAAAATATTATTTATAGTTCATCATTAAAAACTTTTTATAAATGCATAGTTATCATATAATTAACAATTCATCCATGCATTATCTCATTATTTATTATAATTAGAAGAGATGATATTTTTTACAGTAATGTTTAAAAATTTGGTGTTGTCTTTTAAAAGATTTACAAGTCTTACGATTGTGTTCTGTTGTGTTAAATATATTCTCTTCATTTTAAATCTTCTGAAGTTTAAATAGATAAACGCGGATTATAAAGGTAAATTGCCTATTTACCCTCTATCAGCAAACCGAAAAAACTGCCTAATATTTCCCTGTAAGTAATCGTAGAAACTAAGGCAATCCACCTTAGCAATTTTTTGAACTTCCAAATGTAAGCAAACATATAGTCCACTGCCATTGCATTCCTCAGAAAACCATTCTAACTCCTCTACTCCCCGATGAAAATAATAGAATCGCCTCTCTCATAGGCTGCCGTTTTGGGATGTAGACGCTAGTGTATTTCAGGCCCTTGATAGCTCCGCCGTTTAGTTAGCGTTTAAGGGGCCAACTGCTGTGGAATTTTGACAGCTTAGGCTTTACCTTTTTAGTTAAGCATTAGTTAAGTTCTTAGTATTCTTGAGTTAAAGCCCAAGTGGAGGCTGTTCTGTACGTCCTGAGAAAGGGCCATCTGTTAAACCTTGTTTTGATCAATAAAGGGTAATTAGTTTCTGTTCTCTGAGCTAAAACGATTATTCGCTTACCAGTTCTCAAAGTTCCACACACTTAGCTGTAAATTTTAGGTAGGAACCTTATAAGCTGCTTTATTTTTTACAACAATATTTTGTACGACGATGTTTTAAAACTGTGATGTTTTCTCTTTGATCCATTTTCTCTCACGATGTTTTCTCCGCGACGTTTTCGTACCCGATGTTTTTGCTGCGATGGCTGAAGAACCGTAGCTGCGATGATCCGTAGAAGCTGTTGAATACTTTTTCAAGATCTATCTTCGTCCTAGAAAATGGCGACCTAGTACTCTTGCACATATAAAAGAAGGGGCTTTATGATTTTCGTTGAGTTAGATGGCCTATCGTTTTTATCACGTTCGTCGACAGTTCGAAGACAGCTCTTTATCTTTGTCTTTCTTGTTTCATTATCGAAGAATGTAAGCAAACCTACTTTATTAATTGAAAAGATGTTGCTCAAGATATTCTAAACACTTACCTATTGAAAGAGAAATGACGTTTTTTTCAGGGTTAGGAGTGATGTGCAGATTGTCGACTATAGAACGAATTGGGTTAACTGTACTTGCTGCAATGTTAGAAGGTCGGACATTCCAGGAGCGTTTGGTCTTCATACTCTTTCCAAAGAAATGTGGAATCTAAAGATAATAAATAGTGGTTAGAAAGTTGAAACACATCCTTGCAGACAGAAAAAAGTAATTTATTTTTAAATTACATATTTGTATTGCTTTTTGCCATTCAGCACGTTAAGAAAACCTCGTACGGATTCGAACGTCATTTCTGCGAAAATCAGTTACATTTTCATACAAGGCCTGTTCTTAGTACATATTTTTTTTCTTTTGTTACAAGATAATTTGAATAGCACAGTATTACATATGAACATTCATTATAACATTATTCATTGTATGTAACATTATTCATTCGTTGTATGCATTATAAGGTATTTCTCCCACCTTCTTAGCGTGCCTTCATGGTGTAGTGGTTCTGCACGCTGGGCCGGTATTCCAGAGGTTCGTGGTTCGATTCCCGGCGAAGACGGTTGCTAATTTTTTATCTCTCCGGCTTCTCAATTAACCTAATATCTCTACAGTGGCGCCCGAACTAAAAGGGTCGTGGTTGAGGATTCTCCATATCCAGGATTTTGCGATTGGTTTCCCTAATTCATGTCTTAAATTGGCATATTTACTATTTTGGAATGAACACTTATATTACGAAAGTTAGATAACTGTATGTAACAATGTATTACACCGGATGAGTACAAAATATTTGTATATGTCAAGAAGTTGATTCAATGGAACAAAAATTTTTATAACAAAAGAATTAAATAAATATATATATAAAAATATTTAAAAAATTAAATACTTATATTACAGGAGCTGAAACCGTAATTTAGCTACTTGGGGAATGACTGCGATGAGAGCTGTTCCAGGTTACTGCGTTTTTGCACCGCAGTATCTAAAGATAGCATAGACTTTCGATAGAACAACATTGTTATTTTGAATATTATTCCACGACGCTGACATGGATGCTGATTTTTTTAGATGGAACTTCGCCGTCAAGCAGCATTCAAAGTAATAGTGGTCTGGACTGCCCACTTTCCCACAGTCGCAGATGTATGTGTTGGATAGACCAAACCTATGCAGGTAGGCTTTGTATGGTCCATGTCCTGTTAGGAAATGTGACATGCTGCCAGTTTTGCTCTGCATATACTTGGGAGCATTGCATGTGTGCGTCGACCCGTTTGTCACTGTCTTATGTGAAGTTTCCATGTGGAATGCTTTAGCAGCGAGATTGGAAGTGTTGTTGGACACTCAAGTAAGGATGCACTATTGGCAGCTTCTTTAGCCACAGCATCTGCACTTTCATTTCCTAGTATTCCTACGTGCGCTGGCACCCAACAGAGTACAGGACGAAAAGGTATAGGAATACTGAGGAGAATTCTCTGTATTTTGTGAATCAGAGGGCTTCTTCTGTGACCATCTGCTGTTGAACTGTCCAGTCGCCTTATCCCTTTTAGAGATATCCGTTGTGTGTCATCAAGGGAAAGGTCCGAAAAAAATGGCAGCAAATTTGGGATGTTCAGCTTCAAAACAAGTTAAGACAAGTAAAACCTAGAATTGAGCATTGGGAATCTACCAAAAATAGTAAGGAGGAAGTTTTGTCTCGCCTCAGAATTGGTCACACTAGAGTGACACATAACTACCTTTTAAAAGCTGAGAATGAGCCTGTGTGTTTTAATTGTAATGTTTGTCTGTCTGTCCGTCATATTTTAATTGAGTGTCCCTGTTTTAACAGTCTTCGTCAGAAATATTTTAATAGCTGCGACTTACCTCTCGACCGTTTAATCGGAAGAGAGGTCAATTGTAATTTATTTTATTATTTAAAAGAGACTGGCTTTTATTACCTAATGTAAGTTGTTTGAAAGACTGTGTCTTGAATTTTAATGTGTGCTTTTAACTTATGTTTATATAACTTCATCCTCTGGATTTGGTGCATTTATCCACTTGTTTTTATTTATTGAATATTAATGTCATCAATTGTAATCACCCCATCTTGTGTTTGGCGCGTCATAATCATCTCTGGTTTTGCGCCATAATCACTCACCTACTCACTCACTCACTCACTCACTCTTCTGTGACCATTTTTTGACATTTCTATACTCCCGCGGCACTGTTAAAAATCCTTTGTTTTACATCTGTCTTCTGTCAGCGTCATTGCAACTCAAAAACTCACAGTGTCAGCGAAAAGGAGAAAGGTTGACTAGGATACTTGATTTCACATTATGTTGCTGAACTAAATTTCGTATGAGTAATTTTGTTAAGATATTTTCCGAAATAGATTTAAAAATTTTGTAATGTTATTTCTTTTAAGGAGAACTTGTTTATGCTGTAAGAATGTTTAGATGAAAGATCTGATATATTACCATTCTACTTAATTTCTCAAGACTATTAATGATAGAAGATAGCAGAGATATTTTTCGTTATCAGTGTTTACCAAACCGCTGACAAAACCTACTTGTAACATAGACTGTACGTTTCATCATAGTCTGATCTAGTCTCGATGTGCCACATATATGAATTCTGCTCACTCAGATTTTGTCGATATCATCGGTTGTCAAAGTGCTATCTGAGTATACATCCCGGACGGACATTTGACGGTTCTTTACCCTTACACGATGCGTTAAAAGTTCCTTGTGTGTCATGACCTTGACCGTGACTGATTGATCGTGGAAGATGCGAAATAAAATGTAAACAACTGATTGCGCCGACATGGGTTTTCAAATGCGTGGTTACATTAACTCAAGATTTACGCGTATTTCTAAAATTTGAAACGCATACACATGCGAATTACGCTGATAAGTTCGATCTTATTTATGATCTTCTGTTTATTACTGATCTGTGGTAAAATGAAGCATAAAACATGGAAATACGTTATTTCCCCTGCAGAAATATTACGATTTTTTTTTTTTTTTTTTAATGAGCAAGAGAGATTGAAAAATGAGCAACGCCTTCGTCGGGAATCGAACCAAAGAATATATATTGATAAGAAGGAAAACTTAGCAGCAGCAGGAGTGGCTCCCTTCGAACGAAAAGGGAAACAGCTGCGCATGCGTGAAATATCTGTCGCCAAAAAACGCCAAAGCTCGAAGCTGATATCGAAGTTCGAACAAGTTCGACGATCAAGAGTTTAAAGCTGTGTGACTCCATTTTTTTCCTCCATATTGACGGATATAAAATCAGACATCAAGCTGCGGTATGGATAATGCAAGTTCAACAGCCAGTGAAAGTGAAACTTATTCATTTTAACCCGTGTTTCTCAATTTCCTGTACACATGGCAGAGGAGGAAAATTTCGGCCAGGTACAGAGGGGGAAATTCTCGCCAATAGGTTCCGTCGCCAAATCCCTTGGCGAATTTTCCCTCTTCTTTCTAGCGGCGTAAAAGATAAACTGGTTTACATTACGTCTATGGAGCCTTTCCTTCTTTACATAGACATCCTTTGAATCGAACCACGGACCTCTGGAATACGCGCCTAGCGTGCAGACCACCACACTACGAAGGCATGTTAAGAAGGCGGGAGACATACCTTATATACTCCCCAATGTAAAGAGCGACTGGGGTTTTAGGGAACCCAATTGCCAAATACTGGGTGTGGAGAGTCATCATCCATCACCCTTTTAGTTCGGGCGCCACTGTAGAGACATTAGGTTATTTCGGAGCCGAAGATATGAAAAATGAGCAATTCCCTCGCCGGGACTCGAACCACGGACCTCTCGAATTTGCTTCAAGCGGGTTGATCAGTACACTGTGAAGGCACGCTAAGAAGGTGGAAGAAATATCTTATACCTCTTTACAACTAACTGTATTTAAAATCTCTGTGTAAAGTGGAATGTTATACATGGAGTTGTGCTGTTGTCAGTGGTTACGTTTATGCTGTTGTCAGATGAAAAATAAGGATATACCTATTTTTCTAAAAGGTTTTATATGCATAAATATGCACTGAAAATGCACACGCAAAGCTTTCTGCATGGTAAAAGTGTAGAAACACAATGCTAGTATCAATACTTCGAAAGGAAATAAATCTGTTAGAGGGCCTTCTATGTCGCAGTTAAATTTAAAAGAAAACTGCTGATTTCAAAGTTTCTTAGAAATTTTTATCTCAACGTACATAGCAGATGCATAACAGTATTTGCCCATAAGATAACTGTAACTTCATAATTTTATTTAATTTTAACGTCTCATTTATGATGCGTATGGTTCATATTTATTATAAAAACATCATATTAAAAATTCGGGAAAAACAAGCAGCAAAATCATATTCGTATAAAGAAGAGAGGGATGAATAAAGGTGGTTTTAAATTTCGCTATAAACTGTTGCTTCGAATTTTATTTTTAAGGCAAGCTAGACAATAAAATTCAATGGAAATCCCAAGGTGCATTTTTTTAACATTTTGTGTGTTACCTTTATTTATCAAATATCATGTTCTTCGCATTTAAACCATAAAATTCAGTTCAACGGCAGTGTCGCAAAATAATTTTAAAATAAGCATATCTTTTGAATTTCCGATGCACAGTCTCGCTTGCTGGAGATAATTTCCCCCCCCCCGTATAGTGTTGCCATTGATCGCTTTGAAATCCTTGAGTTCGTTAATCAAAAATTCGTTAAAGTGTTACAAAATATGAAATAGATAATAAAGCAAATTCCAAATTCCATATTAGGTTTTTCCAGATGCCCATATTCGGATGGAGACGTACGTTATTCAAAATTGGATAGCTCTAGGTACCGTCGTTTTATCACAAAAACATACATACATTCATGCAGAATCTTCATTATTTAATTTCTTTAAATATAATACAGGGCTCTGATATTTGGTGGCAACAATTTAAAAAGTGGTTCGCCGTTTTAGTGAATCAACAAAAAATGCCAAAAGAAAATTAATAGCCCTTCTGGGCTAACCCTCTTTGGGCTAATAAATAGGGCTAAGTAAGTATAACCAGGTCTAAAAGGATAATGAAGGAATGAGGGCAAAAATAGTAATGGGTTTATTACAGCAAAACAGAATTAATGATGAATGTTTAAGTTATGATGTTGATGTATATAATTATGACAAAGCCGCGAGGGCTATCTGCCTAAGAGGA